TGATATGTGTCATGTCATATGTGCCTGTACAGATATGTGTCAGCATCCTGGTTAATTCTCCCGCTAAGCAATCGTGCATTCCAGTTTGAGCTGCAAGATCGTTATTGACAACGATTTGGATTTAGGTCTTATATCTATGGATAGCCGAATAACATCACACATTCCACGAGTTTTAGCCTTTCAAATAAAATCTCAATGGAATAATACAGGACCAAAAAAACATTGATCCTGTTGTTTTGATTAAAAAACTCTTTAGATTTTGTAATTTTTCTTATTTTTTTGTATTTTGATAAGATATCAAAAATAGCCGAAATCGGCAGTAACGAAAAAAAAAAAGTCATTTATTTTAGACAATGTTTCTTTTTTATAAATTTTAACGCAATTTGCTTACCAAGTTTGCGTCATGTTTTTAAGACTTGTTATCCGCTTGGAAAATTTTTCATTGCTCAATTTTATTGTTGGATTTAGATAATTAATGTTTATAAAAAGGTAAATACAATTTACAAAACATGACTGAGGTTGACAGTCCACAGCCGAAATATCCTGTATGTACCTATTTGAAATAACTTCAAAGAGATTTACAACTTTTTTTACAAATAGCAGCACAAACTCGTGTATCCACATGTAGACACAGAAAAAACGAATAAATTGGGTCTGTTATCGAACTCATATGGACTCACCGAATCCTCACGGACTTTTCTAGAGCCTGTTTACTTTTCGATACTGATAGGGTTTTCCTGGTAACGACTGCTCATACAAATCAGCTTGGTAGATACGTTTGTTTTTGTTTTGAACTACTCTATCTCATGTCTTTCTGTTTTCATTACTCGTTCGGATAATTATAAATTAAGACTTCTATAGATTATTATTTTTAATTTATTTTTGATACATAGATCATTTAACCTGGTGTCCAATCATCACCTATGGTGTTATGCAGCGGTGCAGTCATGTCGATCTCATGTCTCAACGGTTTGAGACATTCACGTTATGAAGTTTATGGCCCCTCTTTAAACGCTTGTTATTATTATTATTAATGGCTTAGATGGGTCAACGAGCTAATGATTCACTTAATGTTAAGTAGTTACCAGGGCCCATAGACATCACGGCGTGAATGCCGTCACTTACCTTGAAACATGAGACTGAGGTTTCCATTGGATTACTTCGCGACAGGAAAATATTTATATGAGAGCTTACTTACGGGAAGTACCTATATGTACGCGTGAAGGTAGTTTCTCGTATGTACTACACTACACGCGCTTACGACACATCCAATTCACGATGTTATTCCTTCATCGATAAAGTAATTTCAGTGTACGAGTTAAGTTCGTTTTTTTAAGAAAAATTGGTATCAAACTGTGAGATTATAACTCCAGTATGGACGCTTCGCTTGGCACGAATACGTTGGGCGTTTCATCATTGAGACTATAACGACTTCATAACAACGTTTCACATTCATTTTTGAGTTTAATTTTTACTTAAGAGGAAAACTGTATTAAATGATTTAAAACAAAAGTAAAGTAGGTATGTGCGGATCTGGTGTTCTCTAGTAGCTTAGGTACATTCTCCTAACTCATTCGTTCATAGTCATCATCATTATCCTGCCCTTCTCTCAGTCACCTGGGGTCCGCGCAACATGTCTTCTCGTTCCATACTCTTCTATCATATATCATTTCTTCGCTCACTCCCATCTTACCCATATCGTCTTTCACACAATCCATCCATTTCTTCTTAGGTCTACATCTTCCTCTATATCCTTCCACATTCGTAGTTAACATTTTCTTACCAACCTCATTTTCATTTCGTCTCATCACATGTCCATACCATCCCAAACGCGCACTCCTCAGCTTCTCTGTCACAGGTGCCACTTTCAGACTTCCTCTAACATATTCATTCCATATTCTATCCATTCTCGTTACTCCACACATCCATCGCAACATTCGCATCTCTGCTGCATGAATCGTCTTTCATCCGCCACTTTTGTTGTCCAACAAGCTGATCCATACAGGACGGCAGGCATTCGTTCATAGTAATGTCCTTAATTTTCTATCAAATTCTGTTACCGACATTTTTTATTTTTTTTTATTGTTGCTTATATGGTTGGACGAGCTCACAGTCCGCCGATGTTAAGTGGTTACTGGGGCCCATAGACATCTACAATGTAAATGCCGCCACCCACCTTGAGATATGAGTTCTAAGGTCTCAGTATAGTTAAAACGGCTGCCCCACCCTTCAAACCGAAACGCATTACTGCTTCACGGCAAAAATAGGCAGGTTGGTGGTATCTACCCGTGCGGAATCACAGAGGTCCTTCCACCGTAGAGAGAGGTCCTACCACCATTATATAATAAACCACCAGGCATAAAATATATCTCGCGTTTCTGTTTATAGGTCGATCAATCGAGATTTAAGCTATGTGCATCTATGTGCATTGAGGTATTCATCTTGTGGCATTTTTGGGCATTGTTAAATATGTAATAACAGAGGGACTACGAACTCCTGTATTCTTTTATCAAAATAAAACAACCATGCAAATATTTAAACATTAATCTTATAGGACTATTTTGTATATGTTTTCACGCGCGAACCACTGTGCTGATGTGGACAAAATTCGGAATGGGTTTGTACCCTGGGAAAGAAAATCTGCCTTTTATCCTCCATTCCAGTGCTGAGTATGGGTCCTTCGCCCACGCGATACGTGTAGTCCGCGTTTCCGATACTGCGAGCTATGATTTAATAATTTAGAATGTCTCAGTAATTTAAGAATCTAATCGCAATATACAGTTATTAGGTTTCGTTAAATTGGACAGTTAAAAGGAGTGTGTATCCCGCTGCGCGCTGCCATTGTCTCCAACACTCACTTTGCCGGCTAATTGCTTCTCTTTCATACTGAACAAGAAAACGCCGTTAAGACTTCTCTGCATTGTTCCTTAATTGAACTTGTACTGGTGCAGTCTGCACGCCGAGGTTTGCGAGAGTTCTCCGTATCTCGCAGGCTAATTGAAACATACTTTGCCTTTCGGTTCATCTGTACAGGGATTCATTTATATTCGTTCGTTAGTATCACGTAGATTATTTTATTGCTCCGTTGAATTTGAGCTCTATTAAGCTCTATTTTTAAGCTATTGCTTAGCTTTTATCGCCGGCATTGAGCGCGGCGACCGAATCAAGAAATTCCGTAACGAAAATAAAACCTAACACCCCCACTCCGCCTACCATGTAGCTCGCGTGCAACACATTCACAGGTTGCGCCCGGCCCGTGTAGTGTTTGTGAATAAGAGCGCGGCGTGACGTCGCACTTCATGCGCATCATTAATAGTCTGCCCATCTCTCTCGCGCGCGGTCTAGCTTATGAGTGTGAAGAGGACAGTTAATGTTTTGCTTTTGTTAATGTTTATAAATATAGCGTGGTCTTATTTTATTATTGTTTTAATATTAAATTATTATTGTCTAATTATAATTGCATAAGTTTATAAAAATGCTATGCAATAGCTTTACCGCGGCAGTCCCCAAGTGCCACACGTGTTCTTTTCTTTAAATCACTTTAATACCTGACGTATAATGAATTTTGTTCTACTATTTGCTTACTTAAATACATCGCATCTTTATGTACGATATTGTAAATCTATTCAAAGCTCTGCATCTGTCTTAAACTAAAACACGATTAATTTAACTTAGAATGTAAATCATGAAAGCTAAATGCAAACAAAAGGTAAGGTCACAGAGATAACAAGGGTGAAAGGTGGCCCACATTAGTCTTAGCGTGTTTGTAACGTTTGTTCGTCTGACAGTATTCATTAGGGCACAAAAGCGTTGTCTATCAGACAGTAAGTCGGTGTTTCTTAACAAATTACTCGAGTAATGTTGTAAGCGGTCGGAAAACGCCTTCCAGCGAACGAAACTAGGCAGAGGCACCTTACCAGTCAATTCACTATCGCCACACAATAGCCGGAACGGAAGCACCATAATAATGCGCGCGTAATTTGTCTACGACGTACATTCTATGTATTGTTTCCTTTACATTTTATATTATTTTGTACTTTTCATTCTTTACAGAAGTCGCTCGTCAAATCTATGCGTGTTCGTTGTATCTTTAGATATACCTGGAAGTGCTCTTTCACTTTTACCACAAATTTTACTGCTGGTAGGACCTCTTGTGAGTCCGCACGGGTAGGTACCACCACCCTGCCTATTTCTGCCGTGAAGCACTAATTAGTTTCGGTTTGAAGCGTAAGGTAGCCGTTATAACTACACTGAGACCTTAGAACTTATATCTCAATATAGGTGGCGCATTTACGTTGTAGACGTCTATGGGTTCGAGTAACCACTTAACACCAGGTGGGCTGCGAGCTCGTGCTCCCATTTAAGCAACAAAAAAACAACGAAAAAAATTAAGTGACATTTTATACGATTACTATATTTTGTTTTTATCTTTTTATATTTTGTTGCTGGTGGTTGGTCGTCTTGTGAGCCCTCACGGATGTCTATCGGTCTCACTTGTGCTGGGCTCACATGCCAGCTGGATATCATAGCTCACAACAGTGTAGCAGGAGAGCAGAGTTTTTAGCTGAATTTTTTTAGTAATCTCTCTTACACCACTGTACTAAATGTACAACGCGGGCGGTGACCGTTCATCATTAGCCGAACCTCGTTCTGCCTTCGATTGTAATAAAAAAGGTTTGGTATCAGACCACGTATCTCTGGGCGTAGCTGGAATAGCCCACTAGGCTACCAGTCGATAGGTAGGGAAAAAGTAGCATAGTAGCCTGCTACATCGTATTTTCCAAGATTTTCGCGATTCGTAGTTAAAACTATTTTTACGATTTAATCACGATTGACAGTCGTGGCTACGAAAACTAGTGTTTGTAGCGGCAAAAATAAAAAATAAAATTATAAAATGAGAGATCGTTACAATCGTAATAGTAGTTTTAATTACGGCTACGAGCTTATACTTGCCTACCCCATATTGTGAGCTAAGTTTTGGGTGAAATAAAACAAGAAAATAATAATAAGAATCTATTTATTGAATCAAATACTTGTATTGGGTCTTCTATAAAAACCTCGTGATCCGCTGTATTATTGTTGTTGAAATAATTAATATCTAAAAAAATTAAAGAAGAATTAAATTTTGCATTTACACATCATAATTATTATGAAGCCGGAGAATGTTTAAAAATTCATCAAAAGGGAGAAATTTTTTTTAACCAAAATATAATTTAATTGAGATAATTAACTGATCAAAGAATAATATTTACTAGTTCACATATTTAAAATAAAAACTTTACTTTAAAACATTTTCAAATTTCAACAAACAAAAGAAAAGTTAGAACCTTGTACACCGGGCTGTTCAAATATTGTTAGTACCAAAAAGCGAAGCGGACCGTTAAAATATGAAATGTTTTAATGTGAATTGTTAGTATTTACAATGATGTTTCAGGTAAATACTACAACCGCATAATGATATTATGAATAAAGTTTACAATACATTTTAAATAATAATTTCTAAGTTCTTTTCAAGATTTATTAGAATTGTGTATTAGATCATCCACCACCGGTAAACGTAGATGCAGTTCACATGAAAGTTCTTCTGTTAGATATATGCTTCGAATAAAAAATTTATTTTTTTAGGCTATCTATGTTATACACGTTATTATCTAAGGTCGTCTTACCACGATTTTTACATCTAATAAGTTCTAGATATTTCTGTGCTATCGAAAGTGCCAAGGCGGACTGGGTCTAGTTATTCCAACCGTGATCATGGCGCTTGCAACATGCAACATTGTTCGTAACTTAAAAATATGAAAATCCTGGTGAGATCCCGTTTAAATAAAAGTTAAAAAAATTATAACCGCTTAGAAAAGTTTGATTATTCGGAATTATTGTTTAATTCATGAATACGCAATACAGTGCAAATCGTATTTATAAGGTATTGCTTATATCAAACAGTTATTACCTTTTTTTAATCGCCTATGATCGTCATTAATAAATTAGAAGAAGTTTCATCAACCGCCGGCATCGTTAGGAGCCTAGCCTCAACCCGAGTGGTGCATTCAACATACAAATGGATACGTTACACTTCACAACATTAACGAGTTTAATTACGTCGGCTTGAATATCCCTTCGTATATAATGACTTTTCTACATATCATTGCAAAGAAAAATGGGCGATCGGCGTAGAACACTTCACCCGAGTCAAATCCGGCCCTGAGTCCGAAGCGTATTTCTGAAATATTTATTATTTGAGTCACACACGAGCCGGTAACCGTTTATCGAAGGATTTTATTGATTAACGGGATACGAGCTGGCCATTAACACTCCTGTCGATAACAAGTACAATACGCCGAACTGGTAAATCAACACTAGCAAACTCACTTCGTTTTACATAATCTATGCTTGTTAGAAGACAGAAAGCTTGATCCCTGACCAGTTTAGAAGCCATTATCCTGTTAATATGGAAAACGACGGAAAATGTCTATACTTAATAACAAATTATTATCTAAATTAGCCGCTTATAGAAAGAATATTTTATGCCATGACGAATTAGTTTAGTAAAGTTCTGTTATAATGGTTAATCTAACACTTAGCATATTATGTATTTTAATGCACGCATGATATTGTATGGTTATTGAATGTACCTAAGAAAAGAAAATTCCGTTAAATAAATTGACACCTTCTCCCGTTAGGAAGAATACGAAGGGATGGTTCGCGTCGAATACAGTTGGCTCACTTATAACGGCACTCAATGATTCTACGTTGAATACTGGAAAACAATATAACTGGTTATTTACAATTACGGTTTAGTTATTAATGTAATGATTACATTTTTCTTAGAGTGTTTAAAATTGATATTGAAGGGTTCAGTTTGAGGGAGGGGGGGGGGGGCAGTTTTAGAGAACTGAGAGGATCCGAAATGACATGTTAAGGACGACGGCGACTTGTTTGCCGATCCGCGGTCTGCAGGATCGCGTGTATATTTTCCGGTGGCCACTATAAGAGGTTTGCGTAACTCTGTCCAGATTTTCATAAAAATAGATCTCTTTAATCTTATTTGATCAATATAAAAATAATAAAAAAAAAACACAAATTCAAGGAAATGGACGTGACTAATGGCTCTGGCAATTTCAGTTGTGAAAAAAAAGAAAAACCACTTGAAGAATAAAGTTGATCTGCCATGACGTTGATCTATATTTCTATTACAGTTTTATGAAATGTGGAATTCGAATTACGATATACCATAAATACAGTGTACGTGTTCAAATTACTCGTTAGCAATATGCAATGCAGAAGGGATGGCAAAAGTCTTGAGAAACCACTGGATTATCCAACATAAACGAATTAAGAGTGAACGTACACATATTAAACTACTTTTATTTATTAGTGGCAAACACACAATGTTTATTATGTCCGATTAGTTTATTTTGTGGTCATCAAACTTGTGGCAGTGTCTACACACAAATTAAATCCTGGTAATGGTCATTTAATATACCTAAGAATGAAAGACTCCGGTAAATAAAGTGAAGCCTTCTTCTCCCTTTAAAAAGAAAACGAAATTATGGTTGGCGTCGAATATAGAGGGCTCAATTGCGATCAAATATTTGATGTCAAATTCTGCAAATCAATATGACTGGTTAATTAAAATTACAATTAAGATATAATTTTTTTACTTTAAATAATTTCAAAGTACTATTGGAAGTAATTAATTGGAATTAATAAATAAACATAGTGTCGTAGTAAGGTTTCGAAAATATTGACTTTTTAAGGAAATGTGCTTTTTCGATTTTCGGCTGTATATTTTTGAGCTTATTTAGCTCTTTAGCAATTTAGCTCTTTAAGCTGCCTTTACTGGCTTGCATCGACCCGACTTCGGAAATCGCGATAGCATTATGATTTTGGTAAAAACTGTTAGGTTAGTTAGGTGTTTTTTTTTTTCTTTTTTTTTCTCTACCTAAGCTGGTAGCCTTGAGAGGCCATTTCAGCGTAATCTTAGCTAGTAGGGGAGCTCACGGGGCTCAAACCGGAGTGATGCTAACACTGAACCTAGCCAGAGCGGTGCTTCGCAGAATCTACCACCGGATCGGAAACGCGACCCACTGAGAAGATCCAACGAGAAACTCAGTGGGCTGTGTCTATGGGTTAATTCGCTCGTCGAGCTCCTCGTCGCAAGCGACGGGTTCGACGAGGACGGTGACGGGAAGGTGAATTAGTAACAGAAATCGAGGCGTGATCTGACACGAGAAAAAAAATCTCATCTCACAAAAAGTTTTTATGTCGGGCCGTTTTAAATAAACAATTAAAAGTGAAAAAAATATTCTTGCATTAGTATTAAGTGATTATACAAAAAATTTAGAGTTTTGTTCTAATTAAATTTACATCAGTAGCCACGCGAGAGCCTAAGAGCTGAAGTCTCCGTTAACTAAATTGATATTTTCTTCCTTTACGAAGTAAACGACAGAATGATTGGTGTCGAATTAAGGCGGCTGATTTGTATTGAAACTGAAATGTTGTATCTCTTGTACAGTACAGTGAAAACGTACAGTTTACATGGAAGCAGTTTTCATGCACTTGCAGTTTAGTTGGTTAATATATAACATATGATGTAAGCTTCGCATATATATGTTGTAATGTTTATGAATTGTACCTAAGGGTGGAAAACTCCGTTAAAAAGAGTGACACCGTCTCCTTTTAGGAAGAATACGAAGGGATGGTTCGCTTTGAATACAACCGGCTGACTTACAACTGCACTCATAAATACTACGGCGAAGGCTGGAAAATAATGTGAATGCGTGATTATTTAATTTTTAAGTTGTTAGTGAAGTTTTAATTACCTTTCATTAGGATCGACTTATTCTCATAATTACGTAGAAACCTTAACAAAAATTGCGGAACAAAATTTCAAATAACAAAAATTTCGGTAGGTACTAGTGAAATATAATGTTCTAAAATGAAAAGTAAGGAAAGTCGACGTCATAGTTGATAAAAAGCAGATACTATTAGGAACAAAGTGTAGTTAATGATATTTTGTAAATATTTAACTATGAAGTTTGCTTTAAGTTTTATTTAAATATATAAAATAAAGTGTTCTGTTGCTTATAATAAATTCAAGTTCCTCAAATTCATATTCATTCATTCATGTTCTATTATTTTATGTTCTCGGATCCTATCGAATGTCCAGTATTGTGAGTTACCTTCCGCTATATTGTAATTTTTGTTGTGAATGCGTAGATCGCGGGTACAGAAACAAACGAAAAAAAACCAATAGTATTCATTTTTATTTAATAAATAAAAAAGTAAATACAAAAGTAAATCGTAGTTAGTAAATACTACTTCAATACAAAATTAAAAAAAACTCCATTGTTCAGTATTACTAAAATGAATGAATTTTATGTAAGACTGTTTGTATGGAGTGAACAATAATAATTAATTCAGTTTGACACCGTTATATGTAAATCCAGGCAGTTTAGTTCTTAATGAGAATTTGGTTCTATAAGTTTGACATCATACCAAAATTGCGCGTTTAGTATTTTAATATGTTGCATGCATATTAATGTTTATAAACTATATTTTGTACCTAATTTATAAAGATTCCGTTAAACATAATAACACCATCAACTTGAAGGGCATAGTAAAACGGTTTGTTTGCATTGAAAACGATTGGCGGTCGTACATAAACCTTTGATGATCTCGTCATTGTAAAAGCTGTAATATTGAAAATTATTTACTCTAACATAGTTCATATGATTTTTTTTGCGAAAATTGAGTTTTATTTAATACATCTTTCGCTGTATGAAACATAGCTCTTTTGTCGTTTGCGATTGCAAGAAAAGAGTGTTAATCGGAAGGTAGCATAAAATCATCTTGATCTTTGTCGGGAGTTTTCAACGTATGAATATCGACTAGGTATATTATTTAATTAAATCGCTAATAGGAATGCTTGCCAGCCGTTTAATTGGCAAAGCAAGAAATCATGGTGAGAATTGTAGAAAATAAATATGCATCGAATAGAACGTGCACTGCTAAGGCTAAAGTTTTTAAACACCTAAATTTGAACATTGAATACAGGATAAATAAACTTTTGTAATAAATTCAAGTTCGAAAAACTAGATTTTTTCACCATGTAGACAGAAGATAAAATGATAGGTAAGATGATAAGATAAGATGCAAAATAGATACAGCTCAAGTCTTCTTTAAATCCTTTTCCACTTTCGTTAGAATCTTACTGAATTAGGACTGACCAATAAGAACAATAACAAAGCAGATGAAAACTCTCCAAATCAAAACTGTTAATGGAGTTTTTATTCTAATTGAGACATTGGATCGAAGTTCCGCGTTTGTACAACCAAAAAAACCATATTTCATCATCATCATCATCAGTCATAGTCATCCACTGCTATACATAGGCCTCTTCCAATCAACATCACTGAACTCGGTAAAGTACATTTGTTTGGCTCTTTTATTAGTTATTTTATTTGAGAAACTGGAAAAAGAGCTATATGGAGCTGTGTTTGCTAGTTTAATTATAAACATCGTGTTGATACATGAGGTCGAAGCCTCAATAAAATTTTGCCAAAATTGCTGCAAAATGATAATCGTGCTGTTTATTGAGAATCTGATCTTGTCCGTAACGTGTCTTGGCGCAAAGGTTGTACATTTTTAGAAATTAGCTCATGGTTTCATTTGCATAACGTAGTGTTGCGTTGTGGTAGAATAGGTATGTATATGAGTTTAGTTTTTTATTTAATGGGTAGCTTACCGTTAGCTGCAGCAGCTTCAGCGCCTTCCTCGTTGATTTCAATGAACGCTTTTTGAATAGCCTCACTTACAGAAAGGCTTTCTCCTTTTAGAAGGCGCGTAATTTGAGCATCGTTGTTGAATATTTTATTAACGTTCATCTACGAAAAGGTGCATGAAGAATTCAGTTCAAATAACATTTATTATAGATAATAAGGAAATAGGTATTTTTTGGCAATTTTGTTTTTCTAATGATCTCACGGCTAGCCTTATGATAAATGTTTACTAAAATCCAGGTAGATTTAAATTTAAATAAATGCTCCCAATCTATCCTAATCCCAATCTATCAGACAAAGTCTTAATTGTACTATAAGCGATTCTATGTAAGCGATTCTTTTAGAGTTTTTGTGTTGGGTATCCATTATATTACCAAATATCCTTTTAATAGTGATTTCAATACAACCTATACACAGTGCAATCTACTTTCAGACTCATTTTGCACGTTATGTATTTTTACTTTCTGTTATTTTTCATACATTACTTATTATTATTTATATATGAAACTTACATTGCTTAAAACATCTTTGAGATTCGTCTCCGTTTCAATTTTGAATTTGGGAAGATACAAATCGACTTCGGTGCTATACATGCTTTGCTGAGCCGTTTCCAACGTCTTAGGGTCTTTTAGTGCTTCTTGAAGTTGTGTAATGCCATCCTTGTCTTTTGGTAACACTACGATCAGCGACGATTGATCGCCCTTGTAAGGTATTTCAATTAGCTGAAAGAAATTGTGAACTTATTCTTAAAAATTCGTTAAGAAATACGCATCACTATTATATTTTGCTGTAATTAACTTTTATAAATCGGTTGCATGGTTTCCGGGAACTGAGTCTGTTATATTATGTCTGTGATTTAGCAACAAAGCCACGACTATAGGGGAAACGGGGCTGTAGCAATAAGAATCTAAGTGTAGTTGGAAGTTTAGCATGGATTAACTTCTTATTACTAAAATTTCAATTTAATATATTTACTTGAGCATTAAGTGCTGCGCTCTCTCCATATTTATAATCGCCGCGTTTATACATCATGGGTACTTTGATTGTTTTGTCTTTGCTCACGTAGAAGTCACGGTCACTGGTCAGTCGCTCGTCAAATTTAGAACTCCATGCTCCCTGGATGTAACAAAAAAATTATTAAAAAATAAATAATGCATTGGGGCACAAAAATTTCTTTCTCGAGTGCGAGGTAGTCCGAATAGTACGAAATATATAAGCACCACTACTTTTAAATGCTTTTATTAGCTTGAATTATATCTATCTAGGTAATTAAACTTTTCAACGTAATTTTTACCAGCATTAAAATGTCCGAATAAGTTAAAACTTTCTGTATGGATGACAATACAATAATTTTACTATTCGGCCTAATATCCTGACTACGATCACTGAAACAACATCGAGCTCTCCGTCAGCAAAAATATTTGTAATTTGAAATCTCCTTTGTTCGAAAATGGTCCATTAAAATGTAATCTACGTTGATTAATATAATTATTTTCACTTTTCAGTATCATGTGAAATGAAGTTATTTAAAATTAAAATACAAGCAGATTAAAGCAAAAAAAAGTATAATATTAATATACTGCATTCAGGAATTCAAATGACAGATCATATTTATCGTTCTGTTTTAGAATACTACTAAGTGATTTTTTTATCCGAAAGTTATGGTCGGGTTTGTAATTTTAAGACAGACTATTTAATCATTCCCGCACGATTCTTTGCAAGTAAAACTATTGTTTTGAGGTACAAACCTTGAAATAGATGGCGTTGACGAGAACAGCCGCTGTGGCTGAGCTGAGCGAGTCCGGATTAACTAAATCCTTAATGCGGTTATTGGTATTTTCTTCTACCTAGAAAATGAATTGAAATTTAGCGGTACCTAGTTGCAGTTCCAAGAATGCATGTCTGTCTGACATTAGTTTGGTCTTCCGGAAACCCCAAAATTGTAAAGATTCTTAGCGATTATACAAGACGAAACAATAAAAAAAAGAAAACAAAAAACGAAATCGTCATGACGGTATTGTTTCTAAGTTGATTATTTATTTGGCATACGATATACTACATAATATCCAGTATATGAAAACTTTACTGTTACGGGTGAGCGTTGGGGAAGTAGTGAACAAGAATGGGTTTCATACCCGTATATATTTATTAATGACAGAACATTCTCTGAGGACAAGATAAGTATTTTAAACAAATGTATATGAATCTCTCAACTTACCCAATCGTTAATAGACTTAGCTGCGACTGTATTCTTCGAGAAATCAATGTTTTGGACGTCCGAATTGAAGACGTCCCTGGAAACGACTGCAAAGTTCTCGTCTAGTTTTCCACCATCATGAACGTATACTTTATTCGCCATTTTAAGCTCAACGCCTTTAATTGACCGAAGGTCACGGCTTTTACTCGCGAATTCTGTTCGTATCTATAAGCAAGCAACAAAATTAATTGTAGTTGCACTACAAGGCAATATAGAATCTTCAAAGTCATATGTAATCTATATAAGTACCAATATTTCACATTATGTGTATTCTATAATACTGAGATGTTACTTTAAGGAAGATTTTTGTTTTGATTTTGTTCTTTTTTTGTTTTTTGTTGTTGTTTGTTATTCTTTTGTTAATGCACCTATCATGCATTATCTCTGCACCATCCTATGGTCGACTGGAAGAGAATGCCCATGGCATTAAGTCCGCCTGTGTACAACTTTTGTTTTGTACATAAAGTATAAATAAATAAAAATAAATAAATAAAATCTTGGAATAAAGCAGTGAGGGATATTATTTAAACGTTATGAAGAACGATACTTATAAATATAATTAAGTAGTTCGTTTTTTCTGTGTACTTGCTTTAGCCGTTGGTTTACCTGACTTATGAAGATTTTTTTGCTATCTCTAAATAACAGTACATTAAAATATTATTGAACTCACAATAGTTCTTCGTCATTATTACGGAACTCTTTATTGTACAGTTTTAGAATAGAGGGTACTGGGAATCTCCTTTGAAAAAAAAGGTAGATTGTACATTTTATTTATTTATTTTTTAATGCCTAGATGGGTCGACGAGCTCACAGCCCACCTGGTGTTAAGTGGTTACTGGAGCCCATAGACATCTACAATGTAAATGCGCCACCCACCTTGAGATATAAGTTCTAAGGTCTCAAGTATAGTTACAACGGCTGCCCTACCCTTCAAACCGAAACGCATTACTGTTTCACGGCAGAAATAGGCAGGGTGGTGTGGTACCTACCCATGCAGACTCACAAGAGGTCCCACCATCAGTCATTTTTTGTTAACGGCCAATTAACGACGACTTCTACGATTTAGACTTCAACTTGTTATAAGGTGAGTGGCGGAATTCATTTTGTTGATGTACTGATCGTTTATCGATCTAAGCAATTAATAAAACAAAAAACTATTTTTCATTCAGTAAGTATATCCTAACTTATTAAAAAAAAAAAAAAGAAAAAACATTAGACGTGCGTGATCCGGTGATGTCACAAAGTTTCAAATGCACGAAAAGTTAAAATATTTAATACGATACGGATTTAATCTAAAATAATTTAATATCGTTTTAATTAATTTTTACTTTCGTTATTTATTGACTTTTGACCTTAAATTAACTTTGTACTAGATAAGATGTAGCCTGTTGCGGTATACAATGGAAATATTTCCAATGATTTCTTTGAATCAAATCCAAGCATGGATTGAACTTTTTTCCGGAGACCTTGAAATTTTAATTAAACGCCACGGTATAATAAGCGTAATTCGTAATAAAACAATGTCATAATGAATATGGATGCCTATATCATTGAAATACAGCTGCCCCTTTGATCTGTTATAGACATTAATGTGTATTTATTAATGAATACACTAGATACAGATTCAAAATAGTTTTATATTGTGTGAAATAAAAACCATATTGCCCTAATTACACACTGCATTAATTACAGTTACAGGATAAAAAAGAACTTTAGTCCAAATGAGAACGTTGAATAAGTTCTTTTAAGGATTAATAATAATTTTAAGTATTATAAACTTTTCAACCTTTCAGTTTTTTTAAACATGCTATTCAAACACACACGCACAAGATAAGATTGCTATATTAGGTTATTTATATCTTCAACGCTATTATATATTTCAAAGCTTTTTTCATAAGTCTGATGATTTTTTTTGTTCACACCAAAATTTTTAGTAAGCATGCTCTGAGCATTAGAACCTAGTATCCTTAGAGTAAATTCAACATTGATTACGTAGCATTTTTTATGAATTTTTGATTCAAATGAGTAGACGAGGTCACGAACTTCTATTAAGTGATAATTATTAAGTGAAGTGACCGGGAAAGTGCGTGTCGAAAATTGCACAATAAAGAGTTTCGTAATAATGAGGACGAACTATTGTGAGTTAAATAATATTTTTATGTCCTGTTATTTAGAGACTGTAGCAAAAAATCGACATAAGTCACCTAAAACAACGACTAAAGCAACACACAAAAAACTAACTAATGAATTTCGGGATTTCACTATTAAAATGAAAAAAAAATTAAAAAAGAATATTTAACAAATATAAAATGAATTAACAGTTAATAATGCATATATGTATACAATACACTCATTGTGGGCGTCATAACAGTATCTGAGTGTTTGTTTGTGCTACACAAAAGTAGAATGGGGTGAAGGTGTTTCTCTGTTATCGAATATATCATAAGTTTGTGTAATAATTCAGTAAATCTGTAGTGTCTGCTAGCCGAATAGCCACTGTTTAGGGGCTTGTTGAGTGGTATAATGACTTGTACGTGATACTTACAGCATCGTCGTCAGGGAAGCCGATAGCTTTCAAAAGCTCTTCATGGGTTTCACCATCAGAAGCTAAAGCTAACTGAGCGAGAGGAGGCAGCACCGAAAATGCCGAGAGGACAACGCTTTTCCCTGGATTATTTTTCACTACTTCCTGAAAGAACCGAAAAGTGATTTTCATTAAAATGTATATAAGTATAAATGTATGTAAGTTAATTCAGTACATTTAATCTTATTTATCATCATCAGCCAACATATTATGTCTATTAAGGAACATAGGCCTTTCCTAAGATTCGCCACAAAGATTGATCTGCGCAACCTGCATCTAAGTTAATGTAATACATATTTGACTTCCAACTGTAAACAAATTCGTAACTCCTCCTGATCTATTCTCCGATACGCGGCTTTTAGCTGTGAAATACCATAGCACATAATAGCGGATCACAATTGACGGTTTACATGTTTTTGATGGTGGTAGTACATAAAGGCCACGAAGAGAATTTTAAAGTTGATATTTTTAGTATGTCTTTATCAGAAACACATAAATATTAAAGAAAATTGATGAAAGCAAAAGGAGTCAAGTGTGACAATTATCTATAGACAAGTGAAACTCCTCAATGTTTCAGGGTTGATTGAAATGCTAAATTTATTTATGATTTTTGTTAAAACGCCAATGCTGTCAGTTTATATGTGGTTAAAAGCTTCAGCTGAAGCACAAACAGCCAATGCACAAGGTTTCAACAAAATCGGAGAAGTGTGTTAACACATGACACAAAAGTTTAAATATCTTTTTCATTTCATTTAAACACTAAATCTGACTTTAAGCTAAATTGAACAGTAAACTTTTTTAAGATCGACTTGATTTCTACGATGTTATATCACTATCGCAATTGTGTACGCCCTAGTTGGATAGCACATAAAATTATTCTTAAAGTAAAAACTTTGAATTCCTAAATTAAAATGTTAAAAAAAAAAACAGTTTTTATAACATCTACGTTAAAATCGAAGACAATAGTAAATTCGTTCTCTGTAATGCTCAATATACTTACGGTAAACATTCTGGCTGTGAAGTTATCGTTTCCATTTTTGAGCACATTAGAGAGATTTGTGACGGCTGCCATTGCCGCGATGGCGATAGTAAACACTGCAATAAAATAAAGTTTCACTTCATTATTATGTATATTGTGTGGAGTCTTGTGAACTATTTTCATAGATAAAGGGTCTTTGACGGCCTCTTAAGGTGTAGTGGATAAGTGCAATTTACGAGTATGCAAATTGTTCTATTTATTTGAGAATAAGTAATATTGATGGTACTAAGTCGGGGCTGTAAAGACGCGTCCAAGCTTAACTGGAGCTGATCAGAAAACAAGTCCCTAATTTTAGTCGTTAAGTGAGCGTGTAGCAGAAACCCACAAATACCATCGGTTATAGAGTATTAAAACTGGTTAATGTTTGGTAATAAACTATTCGATGTTGATACTGTTTTGATATTGTTCATTAAATAGTCCATCAAAATAAAATAAAAAAGGTTTAATATCAATGTTTTCTTTGCACTTCTTGCCTGCTTCACTTTCGTAGACTTTCTATCGTTATGAAACAACAAATCAATCTATTAACGATTTTGTTTCAGACGGATATATCCGAATCTTCCAAGATCCAGTCACGAGATGCGTCTAATCTGAGCTTCCCAGAGAATGCGGTCTTCTGTTAAGCCGCTTACTTTGGGCAGAGTGATTGTGGTTGCATCGATGGACATAGTCGATCTTCCCTTACTCTACAATTTTCACCACCGTTGTCATCTCTAGCATTTTCAGGCATTGCAAAAGTTTCGGACCTGGGGCTAATCAGTCGACAAGGTCTCTTCCTTTCTATTTGGCCTCTGACGATGGCAAGCTTTTACACAGAATAAGTATGTTTCTTATCACTCATTTCGAGATTTGTGCTATTGTTGCAAATACAAAAGTATTCTTCACGTGATCATAATATTTTGCGGTTCATGGACCTTTTTTAAAATATTTTTATGTCCATACATATCTACTGATATAATTGACGCTATAATTGATGATAATGACGATAGCTTGACGGTAAATTAAATTTGTATCAATCTCTCTCTTCTCTCTCAAATCTCTTCATAGGTAATTCTCCTATTTTCTTGACTTATTTATTACTGCCAGCATGTTTTTGTTCTGTTCTGTATTCGTCAGAAGACGGCTACTAAAGGTCTTAAACGTGCTAAATTAAACTAAAAATCTATCGTATTATTATTTTTAGTTTTATAATACTACATACATACATACATTATTTATATGTAGTTTATTCATATAAATATGAGGGGGATTTAAATAGGAGATGTCCATGTTTTAAAACGAAATAATATTCTTAAGCTTTGCCTAGTAAGGCTAGTGTCTCGGTGTTTTATCCCAGAATATCTGCTTAATATGGTTTCAAGTAAGATGTAATAAATTCGCAGGCGATCACACAGTCAAGGATACCTTAACCTATTTATAATGCTGCGCATTTCTTTAATTACAGAGCAATACTATTCTTATTGAATATATAATAAATTTACAAAACTGTTGATGATAACGTGATTTATTAACGTTAATGATAAGTGCATTTAATAAACATTTTTTTATCGAATAGGTATAGGTACATTGCTCTGCCACTGACCTTAAATGAATAATTACGCCTTATTTTTTATTAGCGGTTATTAAAGTTTTTTAGGGAGCTTTGATTACTTGCCTACCGTCCGCTACAGTATTTGATTACATCAATTAAAACATAGTTTACGTTTGTGTACTTTCGCACGAGTTTATGACTCACTCCCATTATTTGTAATGTAAAGTGAATCAGCGTTTCCGTTTGAAGTGGTATTAGCCCTTATTGCCTTTAATCTATAGTTCCGATAGACTACGATAATCAATTTCTAAGTCGTATTTATGAACTAAGCTTTCCTACAAAATTTAAAGGCTAAACAACAGTTTATCGGTAGACATATGCGGGTATTTAGTTGCTCTTGTGCCTGCATGCTCACAAATAAAATTAAATATATTAAACATAAAGTTATATTACAAAACAGGTTTTTCTTGTGGCATTCGTCCGCTTATGGGTGAACAATTTTACGGAGTAAACTTGTTTTTTGCTGACTTCGGCATACGAGAATTTAATAAATTAGCTGTCTGTATAGAGCGCCTCTTTTCTATATAAGAATTTTTTTGTAGGTTCTCAGGGATTTTTTTTTAAAGATTTTTACAAGGTTTTAAATACAACTTTCTGATCCTTAATATGTGTGAACCCGTCTTACGTACGTATTTATTTTAAAAAAAAAGTAGTGTTATATCACCAGACGCGATTTTATCGAGTAATCTACGTATTAGGTCATGAACGATATTTCTTGGTAAAACGTTTTTATAAACAAACTAGCTGCACCCGGCCGTTTCGCTGGGCATTTAAAATAAACATTATTATTTCTCACCCCTACAAAGATTCTCATCATTCACGCCCCCGCAACTAGTGTAGGGAGTCCAACACTCATATAAGTATTAGCCTATCCATTAAGTACATGTATTTTCTACATGGATACCAAGTTTCAAGTCAATCTCATTCATGGTTCAGTAGTTATGACGGAACATCCGTAAAAACCACTGTAGATTTATATATTATTATATAAACAAATACGAGAATATTATAGACTGACACCGAAGACCTATGTAAGCGGAAAACCGGTCCATTAACATTGAATGCAAAAGGAAAACCCACTTTACTCATTGTTTTATTGTTTGTTATTTGTATCGTCACGTACTAAGATCACCAATGTGTAAGAAGGTAAGCTGTATTAATGTAGAGTCGATAACGATTCACTTCAATTAATACCGAAGTTTGATTTATATTTAGCCGAGAGATAAGGATGGTAGGTAGGTCATATGTATTTGATAATGCTTTATATCTATATTGTTTACGTTTAAGTGTTTTTATGAGAAATGAATAATGAAACGAAAAATTTTCCAACGAGCGTCTGTTTCTCGTAGATATTTCTGGAAGCCTGTAAACTATTTAATCAACTATGTATTAACATATTTTACTATGTAATTACCAGAAATTAATTAAACGTAAATTGCTATCGATGAACTCAACACATACATAAAAACATAAGTTGGCAAGTCGAAGTTGAAAAAATAACCTACAAAAAGCTAATGAATGGTCAACGTCTATTTGTATTCTTTTTTTAATAACTTTACATCTGATCAAAACAAAACAAACACTTCATTCGCAAACGAAACGGCATTCTCGCGTGTCTACACTTCTTTGCAGGATTTCTGGAAGTTTTAACTTTTGTTAATTTTGTTATATAAAGTGGTTCTTAAATTTTGCCGTCATATTCACAAACAGTCACCACAATTATAAGTACTCGAATTTTCTTTTAATAACCTATTCCATTTAAATTGCTATGTCATGTGTACCCGTTCATAATATGATTATTTGAAGTGTTACTGTTGAAGGTTCTAAATGTTTATGTTTGGCCCTAAATATAGTTAATTGTCGCTTAGCTGACAATTTAAATTTATTATTTAATTATTTCTTTTTTTCCCGTTAAATAAAGAATAAACATAAGTTTTTCTAAGTGAAGTGAAGTCGTAACTGAAATTCGGGATAATATTTTAGTTCAAGTCAGAAACTTTAGAAATATTAGCGAGATGCCTGAAATTTAATTTGATAGAAACGAATATAATTGATGTTAATTATAATTAATGTTATATTAATAGCAAATATAAAGTAAATATACCCGTATAATATTTATAGAATCTAAAAAGAAGCACTTCTTTCACTACTGCATGCTGTTAGCATCTGTAATTGTATTAGCATTTATTTTTGAATAGGATATGTGCTATTTGCTAAATATTTTGCTGATGTGTAACGTTGTGGTGCTCTATAAATAAATAAATAAGATAATCAACATCACTACGGATATGATGCGGTCTACCTTGAAATATGAATTCAAAATTTCAATTGCATTTAGAATAAAGAATATGCTATACCTCGAACTCAAGAAATGATTGCTCAGAGACGCAATGGAAATACCTAGATAGGTAAACCAGTGGTACATAACCCTAGAGATTCACCAAATACTAACTTCTACTCTTAGTGTGGAAACCCGATTTGTTTATGTTTACTTTTTAATATTTTCAATTTAAACCAAAAGAATTGCATTGACGGATTATTTTATCGATAAGCTTTAGATACAATACGATAATTGCAGGTGTAAATAATTCTGTTATCGTGTCGGTATTTTAATATAAATGTGAATATTTTTAAAGTTGAAGATTTATTTTGTGTAGAGTTTCATATTATTAACATATACATATTGCTTTTTTCATAATTAAATTGTCATATTAATTAATAAAACTTGACCAGTGGTTTCACGTTATATTTTTTTTTTTTAAAGAATGAAAGAGACTGTATTTTCCGGGATAAAGGACCGGTTTTGTTATTCTATACTCCATATACTACTAACCGATTGTTTTAGCGTACAATAGTAAGAAAACATCCATCAATTCTCACCATCTTTCAAATTTATAATATAAACATTATTCAGTACGAATTAGTTGATTTTCCTCATTGATGTGTCACTTGCATTTCGAAAAGCAGAACAGAATATTCTAGAACCGATGTCAAAAATAATAAATTAATAATGACTTTTTAATGATGTCCGAGTATTCTTAATATTGTCCAATTAGTGACAAAGGACTTTTAATAGATTAAATTTAATATTTAGACTAAAATTAAACGGACTTTCTCAATATTACTATACCCAATTTCTTTTTTTAATTTATTTATTTAGTCTGTGGTTATTGTCAAAAGTGCAGATCAAGATAACAACAAGACATCATTCAGTAAGTCACGTGATACGAACCGGTCTTCAATGTTTTCTAAAGGGTCATGGTCATATTGATAATCTTACAATACAAAGTCATACGTATGACTTTGTAATAAAATAAATAAAAACACACACGAATTTCATTAACAATTTAACGCGTTAAGATCACCGACCATAATTTTAATTTCACTAACATTTGAGGATTCGATTGAACAGGTCATTCGTGCCGCTGTAATGATTAATGTATTTATATATTTTAATAAATTTTTAAAACAACTCACAACAAATGATTGTCTTCATGTTTGTGGCCTGCGTCTCTCGAATGTCAGACTCACACTGACCGGTTTTAGCGTCACGGAGTATTTATATAAGCATCATTTATTGACTACATAAATTACAGTAGGCTAAGATCCAAGGTGAGCGTTATTGCAAAAAAAAAAAAAAACTATTAGGGTTGTTCGTATTGGTTATTCGGGAAACACAGACGGTTATATCTGGTTAATTTGTAACCGCAGTTACCATGTTTTATCATCAGCCTTAACGTAGTATTTTTTTTTTCTTTTTGTGGTGATTTTAAACGTCTTCATTGTCTTTAGGTTATCGAAACACCAAGACGCATGAGTCGAAGCTACATTCTCGTTCAAATAACGGCTATCCCATTCTTTTACGTAGAAATTAATGATGTAATATATTATTTTTAACAATGAAAGTTAACTGATCACAGGTGCACTGGTATGTGCGAAGGGTCTAAGTAATATGATAAAGTTTAAAACGGACCTAGTTTTGTTAGACTTCTCGGTTAAAGCATCATAACTACATTTGTAAGCTAAATTCTAAGTTACAGCTGCAAAAGATTGATATTTCAATTATTACTCGTTTCTTGATTAATATTCTGAGAATTGTTCTATACTCTTGGCATTTCCACGCTCTTAATCAATAAGTCTTTGGGGTTTTATATTAACTCTTATGTTCTTGTCGTTTTGCAGTAAAAAAATGGAAATATTATATTAATATTTTTTAAATTGCATTATTTTTCTAGTAATATACGATAAGTCGACGACCTCACATCTGAACTAAGCATATGGTCAATCTGATGGTGAGTTATTGTAAATAAGAAGCCCTTATTACTGAGAACAATTTATAAGTTAACCCATTATTGTAGTCGAAGTAGGGATCATAGTAAGCTATTTCCAGGAATATTTTATGCCCCGCGCTCTATGACCCTGGGATGATTTTTTCTCCATGGCATTTCCTCAGCTCTGGCACAAGACCAGAGTTAAACGAAGAATTAAAAGAGTTCCCAGCGGCAGAGAGAGGTTCAGATTTGGAATAAGTGACATTCATTAGCAGCCGTGATCATCATCGGCCTTCAGAGGTAACAAATATCTAAGTAAATTTTAAATTAAGAACTTAAAATAGATATTTTCTTTAATTATATCATCATCATCTATGTTTTGAGTGCAAAGGTTTCTTTGAATTCATACCATGGAATCTTGATCCATGTATTTTTAACTACGGCTACTTTAAATTTATATCAGAGTCTCAATAACAAAATTCTAGTATTTCTGATAGCGTGACGAGTAATTGTTATCGATTTGCCATTAACAAATTAATATCAAATTGAAAAATTTTTTTGAAACCGTCCATACTTAGCTTGTGTTGTCATACAATATATGCATTACGTTTTAAGAGGCCACGTAACGTGAAGAAATAATAATTTTGATTTATTATTTAGAATAAGGAAAATCCTAACAACTAGTCTGATCGTACCTTATTCTAACTAACATATTCGTTAAGCAAATGTTACCTATTAATTTGACCTTGTGGTCGACGCATTCATGAAGTAATATAAAATGTTTTGATAATTCTACTTTATTTAATATAGTTTTTAGTATTCCAGGAATTTCGTTGCATTGACGTACGTCATAGACATCTATATATTAATACGTTGTAATGACGTACGTCATAGATATCTATATATTAATACACGTAAAACTTTGTTCCCCTTGTTACCAAAATTGCGCAGACGGAGGAGTAATCTCCCATGATGAAATGAAATCTCCCACACTTATAGAGAATATAGAGAAGAAGTGCAGAATGCTAATATTTTTTTAAATTATTCCTAATAAATACATTAAATCAGTAAAAGTAACATGACACACACTGCCATATATTTGGCACACACACACACGCGCATACATACTCTAGTAGTAGTAGTTTTATTTTTCCAAATGGAAAGGCAAAGGTATCATACCATACAGCCTAATCTTTTATATAACATACATAAAGACAGTGATTCGTTTATTATCAAACTTTAGTTATTGTTTAAAGTCTGTAGTTAAATTGAGAATAGATTAATATTGTTTGTCTTTAATATTATTTATCTATGATGTAGTCTTGGCGAAATCTGTGATTTTATATAAGTGTGAAGCAAAATAATAGTCTTTGGCAATAGAAGCTTAATAATGTTCAAACTTATAATTTCAATTAATTATAGTTGAATTTCGACTACCGCGGGACCAATAGTATAGAAACAAATAGTCGGGACACGTCAAAGATTGTCTGTCATATGGCGATAAATTACGATAGCTTGTACCATAAGAACCAGAGACCTATGTGCAGCTGTTTATCTATTTGGATTTTACGAGTCAGGCAAACAATTACCTGACCATTCGACACTTAGGATCTTTTATGTTTTTCCTTTGTCTTCTATTCCTCATCTCCAAACAACGTCTACATTAATCCTATAATCCAGAAGGATTTGTTATCACCTATTTATTCTTTGTTAATTGGTATTTGTGTTTAAATGATAACACTTTTATTAGTTTACTTTGCAGATAGGTTATCGGATTTTGATCTTCGTTCATACGCACTAATAATGTTAACGCATCACCAACAGGTTGTTCACCGTGACCACCGCTGAGCACATACAAAGTTCCTTGTCGTACAAGGAAAATGTTCATATCATCATCCTCATTCGTTAGTTTTTTTNTTGTTAATTGGTATTTGTGTTTAAATGATAACACTTTTATTAGTTTACTTTGCAGATAGGTTATCGGATTTTGATCTTCGTTCATACGCACTAATAATGTTAACGCATCACCAACAGGTTGTTCACCGTGACCACCGCTGAGCACATACAAAGTTCCTTGTCGTACAAGGAAAATGTTCATATCATCATCCTCATTCGTTAGTTTTTTTATTTATTTTTTTGTACAAAAAAAAACTGTCAGCTTATTTTTTATTTTAGCTTATTAATATTTTAAATGCACAAAGTGAGTTTTTTAAACTATCGCTTTATAACATCCGATTGGTGTGATCAAGTAACCGCTCTAGCTGGGTTGCCAGTCACAACCGCCATTCGAGCATCTGAGGACCGGACATGGATGGAAACAGCTCACGAGACACGCAACGGTCAAGTTTCAGGGACACGACCTTCAGCAATGAAGAAAGCGACGAAGAAGAAGAAGAACCGATCGGCATAGAATTTTGCATACTTGTTGTTAGGGATACGGAAAATGAACATAGGAAAATGAGCATAAGAATAGGTAGGTACCTCGAACCGATCATCCAGAAATGAAATGTAATTCTCGAACTATTTATTTTTCAAACATAAAAAAAAGGAATTTTTATGTGTAAAATAGCAATATTATAATTATTATTTTATTGATATTTTTTCATAAATTCATTCCATAGATGATTCTTGTCTTGTTTTGTATGTAGCGTTCTGCATTTGTTATGAATTTATATTGGCGTACAATGAAGCATACACTACTTTACTCTAAAGCAAGCGAAGACGTGGCTAAAACCCAGTATCTTATTAATCTATTTACTGCTTGTACCACCATGCTGCAAATGTCAGCAGCCAAGCATCTATGCGCTTCCGTGTAAACGGTATATAAGCAGCTTAAAAAAAAAGATTTCGAAATAAGGTAACATCTGAAATCATGAGAAAAATATGTACTTATTTATCGGCCGGTTCGGTGTGATTCTGTTATCCAAAACTTTTTCAAAAAGGCGTGGTGTAGCAATTGTATTAAGAAATTGCGGCTTATTTTCGGACATTGTACATGCATCGCCTATGAAATTGTATTTCTCAAAACTACAGTTTTTAAGACAGAATTCGAGAATAATAATCATTCCTTCACACATCGGTGTTTGGTAAATGTTTTAATATGCCTTCACCAAATACTTAAGGTTTGACAATAACAAGTAGTTAAATAATTATTTCATCGCACCAAACAAGGTTTGACAATAACAAGCATATTATTACATCGTTTTACATCCGGCGTAGACTGTCAAAAGAGTTCTCAGTCCATCTGGTTACTGATGCATATAGACATTATAATATGTGTGAAGTCTCCGTTTTTTTAACGTTGGGGAAACCGTTTACGGATACCGGACCGAGGGGAACCTCCTGCCTTGAAGCTTAAGCTGAGAACAAGGTTTCCTACCTCTAAGTTCAACCAAAAAACCTTTAAAGCAAATTTGTTAATGTGGCGCCCAGGGATACTAAGTTGCGCCCGTTTCGAACTTATATCAAGATTGAAAATGATTAGTTATTGGCTAAACGGTCCAAGTTCTAAAGTTCATTCAGCCAACCTGTATGAATAGCAATTAAAGAGATAAGTACGAAAGTTGAGATCGAATGCAGACTGAAAATTATTATTGACTTTTTAATGCTCTAGTGGTTGAATTAGAGCCCATGCAAATTTGTCTACTGTGGGACATCGATTCTCGTTGTTACCGTATATTCTACGGGGAGTGTTGGGAGGGGAGAGTGGGAAGATGATCCCCTTATCTCGTTTTTATCATCGCACCGTGCGCCACAGGAGCTGAGTTCATCCATACTAGAACCACTGCGATCAAGGACAGTGCGTTTGCAGACATCTTTTTGACCACTGAAATTGATCAGTCAAACATACGCTTTCCTATTTTGCTTCTATAGTTCGTTAACAATTAAGTCTGTCAATGGCTTGTTTAAAATTCACGGAAGGAAAATCAGTACTTAAAATGATAAGGGGACGAACTGAATTCTTGGAAAGTTACAAATATGTTGGTTAATTGTTTGGATGTAGAAACACTATGCACTATACTTTTTTACCGCTTTTACGGCTTGGCCTAGTTTGGTGAACTTATCACTCACTAGTAGTTGATATTTACGGATAATAAAGTTATGATTATGTGTCATCAGTCTCTAATTCCCACAGTACAGGAAGCCCTAGTTAGGGGCCAGATGAGCATGTGTGAGAGGTCTTAGTTATTATTTAGATTTATAGACAGACATACGACCATGTAGGTACTGCGTTTGATGTTTAGGTTGGTTTGATAACTAAAGATACTAGGAAATAACATACTGATATCAGTCGACTTGGCTAAGTTCA